TTCATGGCGATTCAGGGTGGTTAGAATCGATTTAGGGCTTTTTTGCTTGATCATGGTGGTTAGAATTCTAGGATTGACTCACCGGGGTAAATTGGTCATTTTAACCAGTTATGTCCAGTCCTATCATGTCTTACCAAACGCTGAACAGCTGTCCTGTCCTGCCCTGTCTTGTCTGCGTACCAAACGCACCCTTACTGCCTTGTAGAATCACTGATATTTGTTTCTGTTTTATATAACCATGCATCGATATTTGTTTCTGTTTCTGTTTGCTAAATTTTAGCTTTGTATAGCTTTACATAGTCATCATCCATGTATGCTTTGATCTTTAAATCTAGTTTACTCCATTTATGCTTATGTTTCAAACTAGATTTTGATGGTATTGCGGACATGATTTCATTTCTTGAGCTGTGTCATAAGCTGAGATCGTTAAAGTGTTTTTAGTGTAAGAAAAAAATACATAATTTTCAAAAAGGGTAGGTTTTCATTTACCAGCGTTTTATTTTAATTTTAAAGCTACATTATGTAAACCAAACAGACATATTCCAATTTCTTTAACAGATTCCATTACAATTCTAACAATTAAACAAGTGGTCAAATCTGATAACATTTCATTCTAATTCATTCAAAGCCAAATTTTTCTTTGAAATATTTCATTTCATCTAAAAACATGTTGCAAACCAAATGTCACCTTTTTTTATTAGATTATTGAGTAATTACGATTTTCGTCCACGTGGTTTTTTCTTGTCTTTCCTACCTTTTTCAGTTTTCATTATCTATTTTATACACTTATTATATTAATTAATTAATGATAATTTTAACTAAAGATACATTAAAAATAGTTATTTTATTTTATAAATCACGGCATTAGAAAAGTCTTATCAGTATCTTTAAAATAAGTATATATATATATATATGCAAATCCGTATATCAGATAAATTAAAAATACATTAAAATTGAAATCTGATAGAATTAAATTTTTATGCAATTTATCTTTTAAATTTTATGCAATGTATTTTAACTAAAAATCTATACTATATTATAAAGCATTTGGCTAAAACTCTTAAAAACTCTTAAACAAATTTCATCCCTATCCGATTTCATCACATATCTGAATTCGTATAACCAACTACAGATAAACACAATCAAATACATGATATACGTCTAATTTTAAATATAAAAAATATAAAATATAATTAGGATAATTATTGAGTTCTAACATAATACTTAATTATTATCTTTATAAAATGTTAT